AATCAAGCTCCCTCGACACCGTAATTCCACCATCTACCAAATCTCCAATATACAAGGAAAACCGCTGAGCAAGGGGTTGGTGCACCATCGCACCCCGGAAGTCACTCTTCGCATTGGAAACCTCCATGCTGAACGGATTTCGTTCTTGGTGCTGGAGGAGGCTACAGTAGATATCATCCAGACATCCACTGGAACTCCGGGGAAATACTTCGGTGGAGTGAATCCTGTTTCAGGACATGTTTAGCAGATCTCCCTCTTCCAGGCCGAGCTAAACTCTCCATACCGCTCTGCTCTACCACTATTGAGAGCCCAGCTTCACTAAGTTCAATCCACATTCCAGCCACCTACAGGGCGTTCCAGGACGTGTTCAGCAAGGTCGCGGCAACCTATCTTCCACCTCATCGGCCATGGGACTGTGCAATCGACCTGCTGCCTGGGGCCAAATTACCTAAGGGACATGTCTATCCCCTATCGATCCCGGAGCACGCTGCCATGGAGGAGTACATCAAGGAGGGATTACATCAGGGGTTCATCCGTCCTTCCACTTCTCCTGCAGCATCCAGTTTTTTCTTTGTGGCGAAGAAGGATGGGGGCCTACGTCCTTGTATCGACTATCGAGCACTCAACTCCCAAACCATCAAATTTTCCTATCCACTCCCTCTGGTGCCAGCCTCGTTGGAGAACTCCGTGGTGCCCGGATCTTCACGAAACTCGATCTACGCAGTGCCTACAATCTAATCCGCATTCGAAGAGGAGACGAATGGAAAACTGCATTCATAACACCATCTGGGCACTACGAATACCTGGTTATGCCGTATGGCCTTTCAAACTCACCATCCATCTTCCAAAACTTCATGAATGAAAAATTCTGTGATATGCTCAATCAATTTGTAATCATCTACATTGACGACATTCTCATTTACGCATTCAATCTTGAGGAACACCAACAGCATGTTTCCCAGGTACTCCAACGTCTCCGTGAGCACCACCTTAGCCATATCACCCTGCAGCCCAAGACCGGTTGCCCACTGAAGCTAAGCAGGGTTGAGCCTGGTCAGTACCTGGATGGGAGACCTCATTGGAAAACTAGGTTGCTGCTAGAAGAGGTGTTAGTGAGGGCAGCAGGGGGTGCTCACCCTGTGGTCTGTGTGGGTCCTAACGCCCACGTGTAGTGATGGGGACACTATACTGTAAAAAAGCACCGTCCTTCGGATGAGATGTTGGTCCTGACTCTCTGTGGTCATTAAAAATCCCAGGATGTCTTTCGAAAAGAGTAAAGGTATGACCTCGGCAACCTGGCCAAATTCGCCCACTGGCCTCTGACCATCATGGCCTCCTAATAATCCGCATATCTACTGATTAGCTTCATCCCTCTGTCTCCTCTCCGCCAATAAGCTGGTGTGTGGTGGGCGTTCTGGCACACTATGGCTGCCGTCGCATCATCCAGGTGGATGCTGCACACTGGTGGTGG